AACCACTGTTAAATAACACCCCCACAAGCATTTTTCAGCTCATAAAAGCTTTATGAGCTGAAAAGTTACTTCAGGTTTGGGTTGGGGTTTTTTTTCAGCTGCTAATCCGCTACCTTCCAGCAACAGCATCAGCCCTCCCCACTACAATGCATAGGAGCTATGTGAACATAAAAGAGCATGAGATGGCAAGTTTTGCACCTTTGCAGTGAAAAAGAAACCCTTCCGTCCTATCTGATACAATGAAAAGCTGCTAATGCAATAACATATCACAGTGCAGGACTGTTTTGCTTTCTCACTTTCACAACATGGTAAAAATCCCAAGGGAATAGCCTGTTGTTCCACTCAAGTGAATGAAGTCCCAAGCTCCTTCTTTATGAAAATGTGTAGTGCTTTCTGTAGCATAAAAAGAGATGTTTCCCCATTTATTTTCTTCATAAATTTGAGCACCTGCCCTAGACCTGCCCGTGTGCCACAGGCTGTCAGTAAAAACATGATTTAGATCCCTCATTAACTGGTGCACCTGCCTCACCTTTGCTCACATGCAAGTATGGCGGTTGTTTGTACAATACATTTTCTCAATGAAAACTGATGTATTCTAACACAAATAAGCAGCTTAATCCATTCAGCTTCAGCAGAGTGCTCTTTCTTATCAGCACTAGAGCACATTTTCCAGAACTTAAGCTAATGAGCTTGACCTTCCACCAGGCCCCCAAACTGCTTCTGTTTCCATGGGTAAAAGTTTTAGATAAAAGTAACTGAAACGTCCTTTATGAAAGTTTTCATTGATTGCAAGCATGCATTTTAAAAGCTAGGAGTCCTCTAGGAGAAGCTGTTTCTGTTCAAATAAATCTAAGGGCTTACTGTTTAAAAAAAAACCCTGAATTTATTTAACAATATATTTCAGTTATATATTGTGTATACTGGGGTATTGTAGGTTGAGGCGTGAGGGGTGTGTAACACAGCCTAAAGTCCTTGCCGCTATATTTAATTGAGTTTAATCCAGTCAACATTCAATGTCTTTCAAGTGCAGCTTGTGTCTACAATAATAATGAAGAATAAGATCCCCCACATTCCATACATACATAACATATTCTATACACTGACAGCACATTCCTGCCAAAGACTTCAAAATGCTCCAGTGAAGTTGGCGCCAGTTTAGCAAGGGTTTGAGACTGACAAAGGTGCAAGAAATCCTTCCCGTTTCTTGCTCTACCAGTGCATAAAATCATAGAATCACACAACCAACCATGTTGTTAAAGACCTTTAAGATCATCAAGTCCAACCTTTACTGCAGCATTTCCAAGTCCACCACTAAGCCATGTCACTAAGGGCCTCATCTACACAGTATGTGAAAACTTCCAGGGATGATGGTGATTCCACCACTGCCCTGGGCAGCCTGCACCAATGCCTGACCACCCTTTTGGGGAAGAAATTGTTCCTAATATCCAATCTAAACCTCCCCTGGTGCAGCTTGAGATCATTTCCTCTTGTCATATCCCTTGATCCCTGGGAGCAGAGGCCAGCCACCTTTGGGCTCCATCCTCCTTTCAGGTAGTTGTTGAAGCTCCCCTGAGCCTCCTCCTCTCCAGACTAACCCCCCCCAGTTCCCTCAGTTGTTTCTTATCAGACTTGTGGTCCATGCCGTTCACCAGCTCCATTGCCCTTCTCTGGATCCGCTCCACATAGCATGCGCACAGGTGAACTCATCAGACCCAGAGCAGCAATGAGAAGTAGGACACCCATCGATGGCAAAGGGACTTCTGTTCTACAAGGGATATGCTCTGTCCTGCTTTATGGGAACTGCTAAAAAAGTCTCAATCTGTCAAAACTCCATTCATTTGGACCCTTCTCTTCTACACGGAGCATAAGATGTTACACATAACTAACAAAGCCTAATAGCACCTTCACAGAGCATTTAAATATTATTATGCCTACATTTACATGGTAAATGCAGTTGCAGAGATCAATATTCAGCTGTGTTAGTGTAATAACAAGTTTTTACTGTAATTAGGTGATATGGCTGATAGGAAACAAAACATGGTACCATATTTCTGCTGAACACAGCTTCACTATTAAAATATTTCTTCTAGCAAAATCTGAATAACAAGGAAGTGAAGAAAGATGAAAAAACAACATTAAATCTCATATATTTGCAACACTTCTGCATACATGAAAAGGAAAATATTACATTAATTTATACCCAGTTCTGCTTAATACAACAAATCTCTCATTATTATTCCTGTTTGAAACAGCTATTGTTTGAAGGGATTTGGTAAACAAATTGTCATTTCTTAGGAGGCACTTTTGGACTCTTGACTTAAAAATCATGAAGGTCTGTTCTTATAATCACCATTGACTACTTTGTTTAAAAATGCTAAACCATGTTGCCTTGAGAACACAGAGGGAGGAAAAAACTTTATCAGAGAGATGCAATGATGAAAACTATATTTCTTGCTCCCACTTAGCTGACAACAAAAAGCCAAAGATACAATATAGATAGCTCCTGTATGATTGCAGATCAATTTTCAAAGAAAGAGCGATAGAATAAGAAGTTGAACTATGTCCTAGTGAAAGGCATGTGTTAGTGACATCTGCCAAATTCACTCCTCTTCTGCACCTTCTATGTACATTTTCTTCAGCACAAAGAAAACTTTATGGACTGAGGAACAGGGAGGCGAAACTGAGTTTGACTGTTTTTCCATTTCTGGACAAAAAAAAGAAAATACTAATCCTAATTCCCAAACAGGATAAAACTTTGGCAGCTGTAAATTAATTTGCAGTTGGTAGGTATAAGGTGCCTTTTCTCTGTGGACAGCTAAATGGAGGAATTTCCACTGTCAGATTTTGAACACATGAAAATAAAGAAAACTCCTTTTTGGCCTTACACTAAATACATGATAAACCCCTTTATGGTTAAATAGAATACAGATACTACCATATGAATAATTTCATAATACTTTAAGAAAAAGTTTTGTTGTTTGGGTTTTTTTTCTGTGCTAGCAGACTAAATCATTCTGAAAGATAGACTTTTAAGGATGTACAGCTTTAACTCTGCTACAAACACCTCCCACACGCATATGCACATATATACCTGGGAAATGCATGCACAGCTTTAGGTAGCTGTTGAAGATGCAGAAGGAAAATCCTAAAGGACCTGATCACCCAAGTAAAATCAAGAGTAGCGATGAAGAGCAGCCTGCACTGATCCACCATCCTTTAGATAATCCAGCTTGAACTAATTCCTAATTTAATGTATCACAGTACCAACACCATTTTGAATAAAGTGTGAAAGAAGACTCTCCTTGATCTATACGCAGAGAAATACTGCATCATATACCTTGTGCACTATCTGAATAAAACACCAATTTTCCTCACCCTTCCAAACCATCCTACTTCTTTTTGTCTGCCTGGAACATATCACTGTGAGAACAACCCACTCTCCCACATGCAATAAACTGTAACAGAACTAAGCAATGGAACTAGGAAAACTAGTTCACTAATACACAGTCCAGGCATTAGTTACTAAGCTGAATTTATCAAATTTCCACAGGTAGAGAAGTATTGAACATGTTGCTTCACTCTAATATTCAGAAATTACCATTCTGTTCTGACTTACCAGACTTGTCTCTTTTAATCGAGACTTCCAAGACACTGGAAACATCTAAAGCTTCAGAAAAAAATTATTATGTACCACAGAAACCGAAGTAGTGTATAAACATTAAAATAATAGAACTATTATTTTCTGAAATAGAAGGTTAAGCTGCCACTGATACGACTTTGTACAGTTTCTTAAATATGAAGTAGGAAAATAAGCATAAAGTAAATACAGATATAAAAATCATTGTATGAAAAGTCCAACACTGATATGGCACATCTCAAAGGAACTACTTCTGCATTTTGATTTTTGATTTAAGTTCTACTAAGCACAAACCTGACAAAACCAACCAATAGACTTCCATAAATTATAGATTCTGTTGGAGATAGATAAAGATATGGATGTTATGGCCAAAAAACAATGAGAAAATAGGTTTTTTTATAACCACCCAAAAGCATTGCATATAGTTAAGGCATATAGAACATTACAAGATTTTTTACCGTGTTCTTTCAAAAATATAAAATAATTTAAAAATAACTATAAAATAATTAAACAGAATGCACCCTCAAACCTAATAGATATTTTCAGCTTTATCCTTTTTCCCAGTCTTTTTACATTTCATTTTAAAATATAAAGTTTTATCAAGACACCTTAAACAGTAGTCAGTTGACAGGCTTCTTTAATATAAATTCTATAGCCTTCAGCTATTTCATTATGGAGACATATTTTGTTCTGAATACCCATGGAACTGAAGCTACATACACACGTACAATGCCATCAGCTAAAAAAATGTAATGAAACTAAAAACTATGTCAGTTTGCATCACAGATCTTGTAAAACGTCTTAAAAAAAAAAAGTTATGCTACAAAATTGTGCAAAACCCCTTCCCCCAAATCACAGGAGGTCCACTTACAGACAGAGTAGTGTGCCTTAACCTTCTTTAGCTGACTACACTGTACATGGCATTGTTAATTGCTACAGACTAATGGAATGTTAAAATAATCCAGTGCTTTGTTTAGGGGTAGTAATGCATGAAATGGAAGCTGTGAAGTTAAAATGCTTGTTTCACAGATAGCTGAGGTTAAATCAGTGACTTGACAACATTAAATAAAAAAAATGGACTTTAGACATAATGACTTATAAGTGGGAATACATCAGTTTCAAACTCATTTCTGTATAGAAATTAATCTTTCCCCAAACCATATATTTAACACATTTCAGAGGTTTTCTTAATGGATAGAAAAATAGACCTACCAATATTTAGTAAGTTGCTGTATAAATAAAACTTGCACTTTGAGTCCTTCAGTGATCCAAGAAACACCTGCAGTATATTCTAAAGTACACCAGTTTGTTATGATAAACTGTCCATTCTTTTGGACTGCAGGTCTAATAGGCAAAATCTTACCTGTATCATTGCCTCTGATTTGAATAACGTACAATTTTATGTCATTTCCACTATCAGGGTGTGAAGTAGAAGGAGACACCTCTCGAGGTTGTAAAGCCTCTGTGGTCTCCTTTACTTTGGGTGGTGCAGTAGCTCGTGCGACTGCAGTAGCAGTTGATGCTGTGAAATATTCCTTATCAATTTCTGGTTCTAACATCTTTCCTGTCAGATCATCATCAGCAGGGACTTTACTGGGAGAAATAGATTCACCAATTATGATGATGTCATTGCTTGTTACCTCCTCTTCTTCCTCAGGAATGATACGGGGTGACTTTTGAGTAACAGAAGGTTTGGATGCTGATGTTGGTAGAATTTTGTCTACAGCACTAACAGAAGGTGTTGTTACATCGCTGAGAATTGTTGCCTTATCTGTTGCATGAGCTGGAAATATAGCTATCTTGATTTCCCCAGGTTCTTCTGATATTCCTGAACCTTCCAGAGTCTGGCTTGGAGAAGATCCCAAAGTTAGATGAGTAATGGCTTCCCTAGTAGAATGACCTGTTGGCATCATATAGGGGGGCAACACAGATTCCCAGCTCACTACATCACTGTCTACTTCTCTGGCAGGGGCTCCTCTGCTTTCATATGCTTTTGCTTGGGTACCCACTGTTATAGGCATCACTTCAGTTACCTCCTCTTCTTGATCAGTAACAGTTTCAACTTTTGGAGTCACTGTGAGATGCAAGGTCTTGGTGCTAGTTTCATCAGGTCCCAGAACTCTTCCATAATCTGTGACCTTCACTGCTGGCACTGACAATTCTGTCACTAGATGTGTCTCATCATAAGCTGAACCTGCTTCATCCTGTTTTTCCTGAACAGATGTTAGAGAGGATTCTGATCCTCGTGCTGTCTTTTGTTCTGGTATTTGGACAGCTGTCACAGATAAAGTAGACTCTCTGGCAGCATCTTCTTCCTTATCTTGATCTTTCACGGAGGGGTCCTCTGGGAACACATCACTGTCTTTTGCAGTTGTTTCTGGTACTTCTGTATGAAAGAAGCCATCAAAATGAGTCTGAGTAGCAACTGGCATATCTCTAGTGTTCTCACTCTCTATAGTAGCTGGAACTGGAGAAGCATCATATTCTTTCTGTGGAACTGTAGTATCTACCTCTGTTACATCTGTAACTACAATAAATTCCTTTGTCTCTCCTGTGCCAGCTGGTGGCATTCCTTTTCTGTCCTGAAGTCTTGTCGCTGCCTCCTCAGTTGACATTGCAGTGCTTGTCTGGCCTTCCTCTGTCACTGTGTATTTTGAGACTTCCATTTCAGCAAAGACTTCTTCAGTAGGTGTTGCCACCAACATCACAGTAGCCTCTCTTTGTTCAGCTTCTGAGGTAGGAATGGACATTTCCAAAACATACCCTGATATTTCATCTGCTTCATGTTCAGTTACCTCCATGACTGTAGGCGCAGCAGTTGGTAATACAGTAATACTTGAGGAGCTAAAAGACTTCATTGTTGCACTGCTTTCACCCACTGATAGTTTGGATACTGTAATAGTTTCCAAATCTGAAAAACTGCTTGTGTAGGAGACACCTGTATTATATTTATTCTGATCAAACCTGGCTGATACAGCTTCTCCATCACTTTTTGCTTCTGTTGTCTCCATGCTTGACTCGGTTTCATCTATAACTGTTGAAATCAGAGCTCCTGGATGCTCTGTAATTTGCCCTGGAGATGATGTACTCTCCATTCCAGAGATACCATCTTCTGTATCTAGCTCATGTGTACTCTCAGTATGAGAAGACTCTTCTGTCATATACCCCTGATGTTTATCTGTCAGCAGCCACATGCCAGAAGCTGGAGGAGCCTGTGTGAACTTTTCACTTGCAGCACGTCCCTGAGATTCTGCTGTAACAGAAGTAGGAATGATGGTTGTGGCATGAGTGATCTTAACATCTGTTGCTCTCATTTCTGCCTCCTTTGTTTTATCCTGCTTCTCTAAAGCAGCTGATCCTTCCGTTCGCTGAGATGAGTGGATAACAGATGTGGTGCCTTCTCCAAGGTTTTTTGGGGAAACAGTACTTCCTAAGAGAGTGATGGCCTCAGATCCTGTTTGATTAACAGCTGACACAGAAAAGGATACAGGTACTCCAGATGACACTGTAGCCTGCACATCTCTCAGGTCCTCTCTGCTTCCTTGAGCTGATGCCTCATCATTATCAAACAATGTTGCAGAACTAAGTTTAATGAATGGAGTTGACTCATCTGCTGTAGAAAATTGTCCAGTGGTTACTGCATTCTCATCTGCAAGTGTCTCTGATGCAGCAGGCACATCTGATACTGGGACGCTACCAGTAACCACACCAGAAACTCTATCAGGGTTAATGGTGTACATGCTCTCTCTGCCCTCCCTCTCTGTAGTGAGATCATACTGATCAGTGAACAAAGCTTTAGGGATTACAACAGTTGTAAATTTCTTGTCAGATTTTGCCTCCATTGACTTTTTTGTGGGTTCTTTTGTTGAGTGGGCACCGAGATACGTACTCTCTTTTGTTAGAGAAACTGAAGTCCCTGTCCTGGGAAACTCTCTCCGAGAAGCTGGTAACAAGCTATCTGTAGCTGTCATCATGGGACCCACTTCTATTTGTTCAGTTTGATTATCAGCCTCATGGTTTTGTTTATCTCCTGCTTCAGTATCTTCCCACAAACCAGTGGAACTCTTAGCTACAGCTGTGATATCCTGAAAAATTATAGAGGTCAAGAAAGCATCCTCAATGCTTTCAGACCTACCTTGTTCCTCGGGCAATTCTGCTTCAGAGTAAGTGTGCTCCAGTTCCAAAGCTGCAGATGTGCTCTCTGCAGGTGAAACATCATATTCAGTCCTTCCCAGTGTATCGTAAGTGCTTATTTCACCATCTGTGACAGTCTGAGGTAGAAGGGTGGTTAACTGAATGTTCTCCATGAGCACCTCCATCTCCCTTTTCTCCTCAGCCATGTCAGTAGTCATTTCTGTATCTTCTTCAGGCTCTAGGGTTGTTTCCTCAAAAGCAGGAACCTCTGTTTTGGTGAGAGTCACTTCAATAATTGAAGTCTCAGTAACAGGAGGTTTAAGAGTAACTTTGGCAGGTGGTAATTTCACACAGTCAGTTTTCAGAGATGTCATCAGCTTGACAGTTGTAGGCTCTGTTATGACCTTTTTACCTTAAAAAAAAACAACAAAAAAAAAAAACAACAAAAACATTTAGGAGTCAATCAGTCAGAACACAAATTAATGTTACTTCAGTTTGAATGCTCCTGACAAAATCTAGATGCTACGCCAAGAAATTAGTATAAAGGACAAAGTCTTTACGTAGTTGTTTAGCATACAACAGAGTGACATAATATTACATAAAATAACATGTTATAAAGCTGCAGAACATCTAACAAAGTCACATGACGTGAGAAGAGTAGCAATATTCTTCATATTCATTGCATATATAATTGCCCCTACAAGTCCTCACATGATACAAGTACCCTCATACAGCTAAGTACTGATCAGGGAATATAAAAGTTTATTTCATAATGTCATGAATGACTGGTACTGCAAACCTGTGGGTTTTCTTCAAAGCTTGCTGTAGCATACCACTCAAGTATTTAAAGGTAGTGAAATACCACTGTAGTTTATTTTCAGCATGTAATTACAAATTGTAAAAAGATGCCCTCACTGGAGTGAGAGCATTCTGAAGCAACAGGAACAAACATGTCATCAGAAAGCACTGTTTTACAATGCCACAAGAGCTGCTGCCCTGCATTTAAATTATACTGAGAGAAATTTATTATGGAGAAAGGTGAGAACAGCAAACCGTAAGATTGCAAACTTAATACTATAATGATGTTGATCTTTGGGAAACACTTCGAAGGTATACATCTGAATCTCCTCCACACACAGAAGTGCTTCTATGGGAGTGTTGAACATGAAAAGGCAGAGTAATGCATGATGGGAAGGGTAAGGGGGTAGCTATCCTAGATTCACAAGAGACACAAAGAAAGGCCTTTCAAGTGAACCAAATTGCAGTGTTTTAAAGAATCCTTCTGCCTTATACTTTCCTTCTGCCACAGATTTTCTTCCTATCTGAGAAGAAAACGTGTCCTTATAACCATGACACTACAGAGTCTGATACTGGATTTTAAGACGGAAATGTGAGTTTGTGCTCAGAAAACAAGATTTGCTCAGGATAAGCCCAGGGTGGAAACATCTTCACTTCTACTAGTTCTACCAGGTTGGTTATCTTCAGAAAGGCAATGGGAGCAGACAGGTGGATGATGCAAATATCTTAAATCAGTGCTGTTATTGCTACATACCTGTAGCATACATACATGTATTGCATACATACATGTATTGCTACATACATGTAGCATACATACATGAATTGCATACATACATTTTGCATACAAGAGCAAAACATGGCCCTTTGAATCACACAAAGAACATAAAGAATGCATTAAACAGACTGCGTATATGAGGACTAACAGCCTACCAGACAGACAAAACTACATGTATAGCTTCTTCCAAAAGAAAATATTGCTCAACTTCTAACAAGGCTAAGAAGTATATTCCTCTAACATGCAGAAATCAAGCCAGTCATATTATTTTACAAGAAAATATTGAAACCAAAGCCTCATCATTATAGTTGTGAGTTACTAAAAGAGATTAGGAACCTTTACTGAATGTAAGATATGAATAGCAGTTGTCAGGAAAAAACATCATTTGAGAGATTGTGTTTTGCCTGGTACATGGGGAGAAGATCTTCTAGATGATGGTGCAGCCTCTGTCTGAATCCTGACTCGCAGGAGCTAACAGTATAAGCAAACAAGAGGGAGAAAAGAAGTGAAAAATTCAGACTCAAATTAGTCATATATTTGTGCACAATATGCATGCACAAATCGGTCTTTTTCACACACCCATGTCTAATTAGGTACCCTTTTGATATTTGTAGAGATGAATTTTGCAGGTGTCAGGGTCACACAGACATTTGTTTAGTTTCACACACCAAGCTTTGAAAATGTCATCTTTGCAAGAGACCTGTTTGATCTCCTCTGAAGTAGGTAGTTTTGTTAGATGATGGCTGCTTAGGATTTCTAGAAGAACAGGTAGATTGACAGAGCAAGGAAAAGAGGAAATAGGCTGATATTTCAGCTTTCTTGAATGAGAAGTGAAAGTGAAATGGAAATTCTGAAGGTAAGAATATATAACATCGCTATGTTTAGAAGTGGTGGTGTTCTTTGCCAGCAGAAAAAGGAACGGATTATTCTCCCTACTGTTAGTTAAATCTTTCTGTGGTTTCACAAAAAAAGACTTGGCTACTTATATACTCTCTTTTGGTAGGCCAAAACGTTCAGTTGAGCAAGGAGTACAGTTCTTGAAATACTACTAATCAAAACACAGCCTTAAAAGTGATTTTTGTATTCTGGGGTCCTACAACCTGGAGTTTATTGCTCTTTTCAATGTCTATGTGATTCAAGTGTGAGCTGCTGTTTATGCAATCAAGAATCAACAAATCCTTACAATTATTCTCCCTCTCTGCTTAGAGCAGGATGGTTAGAAAAAAACCCCAGATGTTTACTTCACAACTAGGGAGTGAAGAGTGCACACAAGTGAGTTAGCGCTGTCCTTCCTGAGCGATAGTTGGTAGTTGTTAAATTTGTACCAAAGAATCCAGCAATTTGCCTTAACAGCTCTTTTTCTATGGTAAAATATAAAGGAGACAGCGTAATGTGATGTTCTCCCTTCTAACTGTAGGATGAATTTCCTTAATGGAGACTGAATTTGTTTTGCAGCCAATATCAGGTACTTTTTCAGACGCCAGTTACCGTATTTAAAGTAACTATAGAGATCACTGGCTAAAAGAATACAAACAAGTAATATCCTCTAACAAAGCTAGACAAAAATCAAGGCATGAGAGTGGATTTTAAAATCAGAGGCAAGGGGAGGGTTAACTTTGTTTCATCACTGCTGGGGAATTGTATACACTTACTCATTACCATTTATATAGTTTTCTAGTTTCCAAGAAATGTTTGAAAGTCCCAAAAGTTCACATATTTATGCCGGAGATGTGGCTATTTATTGTTTATCTTCTAATTACTTAATAAAATAGGTACTCATTTATGAAGTAAACCTGAAAAAAACACCAAATGTATTTGATTCCCTTATATTAATAAGTAAATCATAGAATCATAGAATAGTTAGGGTTGGAAAGGACCTTAAGATCCAACCCCCCTGCCATGGGCAGGGACACCTCAAACTAAACCATGTCACCCAAGGCTCTGTCCAACCTGGCCTTGAACACCACCAGGGATGGAGCATTCAAAACCTCCCTGGGCAACCCATTCCAGTGCCTCACCACCCTCACAGTAAAGGAGTTCTTCCTTATATCCAATCTAAACTTCTCCTGTTTAAGTTTGAACCCGTTACCCCTTGTCCTACCACTACAGTCCCTAATGAATAGTCCCTCCCCAGCATCCTTATAGGCCCCCTTCAGATACTGGAAGGCTGCTATGAGGTCTCCATGCAGCCTTCTCTTCTCCAGGCTGAACAGCCCCAACTCTCTCACCCTATCTTCATACGGGAGGTGCTCCAGTCCCTGATCATCGTCGTGGCCCTCTTCTGGACTTGTTCCAAAGGTTCCATGTCCTTTTTATGTTGAGGACACCAGAACTGCACACAATACTCCAAGTGAGGTCTCACAAGAGCAGAGTAGAGGGGCAGGATCACCTCCTTCGACCTGCTGGTCACACTCCTTTTGATGCAGCCCAGGATACGGTTGGCTTTCTGGGCTGCAAGCGCACACTGCCGGCTCATGTTCATTTTCTCATCGACCAACACCCCCAAGTCCTTCTCTGCAGGGCTGCTCTGAATCTCTTCTCTGCCCAACCTGTAGCTGTGCCTGGGATTGCTCCGACCCAGGTGTAGGACCTTGCACTTGTCATGGTTAAACTTCATGATGTTGGCATCAGCCCACCTCACAAGCTTGTCAAGGTCCCTCTGGATGACATCCCTTCCCTCCAGTGTATCAACCCAACTACACAGCTTGGTGTCATTGGCAAACTTGCTGAGGGCACACTCAATCCCACTGTCCATGTCACCAACAAAGATGTTAAACAAGACCAGTCACACCACTGATCCCTGAGGGACACCACTCATTACTGAATCAATAAATATTAAATTAAGTGTAAGAAAATCATGTATTTTTTCAGAATTTATCAATAAACAGACAAATTTTCTCCTGTGGAAACTGACATAGGGTTACTAGTGTGCAAAGAACAGTTCTGGTTAAAATCAAAATATAGTGCCTCTAAACCTGCTTTGTCATAAATATGATGTATAAGATTTTTCATACAGATTATACAGGTTTGCAAACTTATTTGAGCGAATCAAAAAGAAGGTCTTTCTTCAAGGAGAAATCATCAATGCTATTTATTTATTTATTTTACTGTGGAAAAGAAAAAACACAAAACTAAACCAAAAGAAGATTGCTCTTTTAATAGACTGAACATCAGTTTTAGTTGTCATCCACTCCGCCCAGATGTTCTGTATTACTCTACTCCTTGCATCATCTGTGCAATATGCTATCATCTTTGTCCTTTCTCTGAATGCAAGACATGAGGCAGATTTTCCTAATAAAATTCATGAACATATTAGCAGCAAGAAAGCAAATTATCTCACCAACAGCTGCTCATATCAAAGACTATATTGTCGTCTTTTAATCAATTCCTTTTGTATTGAACAACCTGCATGAAGTTTATTTTGGATGGAGTATATGACTTTTCACTGTATTTTTTCTCTCCTTGTTGATTTATTTTGTGTTTTCACTATACAGCATTTTCTTTCTCTTCTCTCCTACCATCGTTTAAATAAGGACTCAAAACAAAGGAACAATACTAAAACTTAATATTTTTTGAAGGAAATCACTATTTTAGACTTGGTTTAACTTTGTGATTTACAAATAAGGATTACATAACAATTAATATGTATGCATTTTCACATAACCAGTTCCACAATATTTTTAACCATGTCTCTAACTTGAACCACTGCACTCAGAAATATTGATTGTATGTTTACATTTAGGTATGTATTTAAGAACCTGGAAGAACACAGACTCTACGGATAGGAAAATAAATTTGGTTTGAGTCATTGCCAGCATCCAGAACAATAAAAATTTATT